GATGCGTCATCTGTTAACCCAACACCACACACCACACTCTTGTGGTAGTTAATTTTTAGACCGGACAACAGTTCAAACCATCTCAAAATTCTCTTTAAGTTATTGACCTCCCCCCAATGAGCTTCACAAAATAGAATTGTGTCGTCCGCAAATTGCAAGTGAGAAATCCTAAAGGCACTTGAACCGACTGTTGCCCCTTTGATCAACCCCAGCTGTTTTGCTCTTTCCAGCAGGATATTCAGGCCCTCAGCCACAATGTTAAAAAGGAAGGGGGATAGAGGGTCACCTTGCCTGAGACCTCTTTGCGGGCTAAATTCTGATGTTGGCGAACCATTAACCAAAATAGAAACTCTGGCTGTTGAGACACACTCCCTCATCCAACTAATCCATTTAACCCCAAAACCAAAATTTGAAAGCATGGAAAATAAGAAATTCCAATTGATTGAATCATAAGCTCTTTCAAAATCTAACTTTAGGACAATGCCACTCTTACGATTCTTCTTCCAGCCATCCACTATCTCATTGGCTATCAACACCCCATCTAAGATGTTTCTGCCCCCAATGAATGCTGATTGTGCCACACTAATGATTTTAGGCATCACAGTTTTGATTCTGTTAGCTAATACTTTTGCCAATATTTTTTACAAAGAGCCGATGAGACTAATAGGACGATAATCGTTCAATCTAGAGGGGTTCTCATTCTTCGCAATCAAAGCAACAAAAGAACTATTTATACCTTTGACCAGTTTTGCATTTTGATGGAATTCCTGCATGAATTGCAACACATCTACCTTGATCACCTTCCAACACTTTTTAAACATCATAAGATTAAACCCATCTGGTCCAGGTGCTTTGTTACCTTCACAACTTTTAATTGCAGCTACAATCTCATTTTCGGAAAACTCAGCTTCCAAGAGCTCAACAGCTTCTCTATCCCCAACAGATACGAAAGACCCAGTTAGCCGTGGTCTATTGCACCATGGTTCAGTAAATTGATTAATAAAATGTTGTTGAACTGCAGCCCTCACCTCCACAGGATCCTCCTTAACAATTCCATTGACTGCTATTGAACATAGAGAGTTTCTGATTCTCCTAGAGCTGGCCATAATGTGAAAAAACTTTGTGTTCCTATCCCCTTGTGTTGACCACTTTATTCTGGATTTTTGTACCCATGACCATTCCACCATTTTACTTAGTTTCCAAGCTACACCTTTAGCCTCTCTTCTTCTAGCTTGCTCTGCCATAGATAATGGTCTTTCTTCAGTACTTAAATCAAATGCATGGATCTCCTCTTCTACTTTTTTAAGTTTATGCTCCACATCACCAAAGACTTCTTTAGCCCACTGTTTCAAAGCCAGTTTTAGAATTTTGAGTTTCTGAAGACATTTGAAACCGGCCCATCCCACCACATTAGCTTCTAACCACGTACTTCCCACAAAAGATCTGAACTTCGGGTGTAAGGTCCAAGCATTTAGAAATCGAAAAGGAGTTGGACCCCAATCTCTCTCATCCTCCATCAACAGAATAGGACAGTGATCTGAGACCTTCCGAGGCAACCCCCAAAGCTTAAAATTGAACACTTGTAGCCATTCTGGATTAAGCAAAAACCTGTCAATTCGACTCCACTTCTCCCCCTCCTGCGAATTGTACCAAGTAAATTTTCTTCCCCTCATTGGTAAATCAGCCACTTCAAGATTATCAATTAACTCATTAAACTCCCTCATACCTTTATCTCGCCTTGAACTCCCTTTCCTTTCTGATATACTCCTGATCTCATTGAAGTCCCCTCCCAAGCACCAAGGTTTATCATACACCGACTTTAATCGAACCAAGCTATCCCACACCGCCTTTCTCCTCCCCATATCATTTGGCCCATAAATATTTAAAATCACACACTCAAAACTGTTATAGAGAGTACCTGATAAAATTATGAAGTTCCTGTTGCTGCAGCAATCAGCCAGTTGAAATACTTTTGGGTTCCAGATGCATAGTAGGCCACCAGCAGCTCCAGCTGAATCAACTACCATAAAGTCCATTTGATCACTGCCCCAGATTGATCGAACAAATTTTTCATCAATTGTGGATCTCTTGGTCTCTTGTAGTAGCACCATATCAACCCTTCTTTCACAGAACACTTGTTTAATCTTCCTCCTTTTCCCAGGCCTTCCTAACCCTCTCACATTCCAAGAAATGAGCTTCATAAAAGAAATTTTTCAACTCCTAAAACCCCCGGGGCAGCTGCTTAACAAGCATCCCCACCCCTTTTCCTCATTTTTTCTTTATCATTGACTTCCAAAGCTATTAGTTTATTGAGGACAACTTCGTCATTCCCATCACAGTTCACTCCAAGAATATGCCCAATTTGGAGCGATGCTTCAGCCTCGGTGAGTAATATTCTCTTACTGTTTGCTTCAGATGCCGTTGAGAGTGAGAGGGCTGCCACAGCCGACCGGAACACTGCACCTTTCTTCAAATTTAGAGAGGTTCCCACCATTGGGTTATCCCTTTGGAGACTACCTTTTTTCTTATGATGATTGTTAGGGAGCTCGTGATTTTGCACCCTCTTGATGGCTGCCCTCTTCTGAATTGATTCTGCAGCAGAACCCAAAATCTCGCTTCTGACCTCTCTTTCCTTTCGGACTACTGGTTCTTCATCAGTGCAAGGTTGAATAGAGTCTTCTAAATCACTTTGGGCCTCCACTGATTTAATTGCATGTGGTCTGTGGGTTTGGGTTTCCACTACATTTAGTTCATGGGCTTTAGTCAAGACAACCTCAATGTTGAGCCCAGGCCTTAATAATTCAGATTCACTTAGACTTTTTAAGAGGCCTGGGTTACTAAAATCACCATCCACGGACCTATTCACCCCATTTTGACCGTTGATAGAGCTCATCACCAGATCTACCTCCCTACTCCCGCATGCGCCCCTAGAAATTGTTTTCCCCATGTTGCTGACAGTTTGAGCCACCACAGACGAGCTCTTACAGCTAGCCTCCCCTTCCCTGCCAATACCATCATCATTTCTTGGTTCACTACACCTTACTGCTACGACTCCATCATCGTCCACCTCATTGCCAACTAGTGCCTCCATGACATCATCACCATTTTCTTGCTTGCTCTCTACTTCCACCCTCTGGGTAACCTCATCCCCATAAGAGCTATGGTTGACACTAACACCATGTTGATGATGGCATATACAGTGTTTATTCACCATCTCCGCAGTAACCATCTGATCTTCACAAACTTTTATCGGATAGAGTACCCCTTTGCAATCCAAATTGATTGTTTCATTAATGGATTCCATGCACTTGGTGACTATTCGAACCTTACCGCAGATCAGGTTGTCCATATTGGATGTTTCATCAGCGAGACTAGTCACTTCCCCCCATAATCTACCTATTGAAAAGAAGGTGTTGTTGTTCCAAACGTTTAGAGGCACCCCATAACAGCTCAACCAGACATCTCTTTGTTGTGCAATGGACATCCCCTGTTTCCACTCTGAAACCGATTCAGCCCAATCCTGAACCCAAGCCTCCATTAGCTTGAGTTTTTCGCGCATGTTTTCCACCGATGGGAAGGATAGAACTATGTCTCTACCCCCTCTTTCTCGAACCTCAATATCCCCCATGCCTCTAGTCCTCAACTCTGTTTTGAAATCTGCTCCACAGTACAGTGGCTTTAGTCGCACAAAGGCACTGGAGTACAACCATCCATTCCCTACTTCATAAACTTTTACAGTTAAAGTTGCATTAGTGCCTGACCCTTTTCCACTTACTACCTGGGCAAAGGATTCTTTACCTTTTAGCTTCCAAGACACCTTTCCCGTACCTCCCATTTCCTTTCTTTGGATTGAACTCTGTATAGGCCTTTTCTGTGCTTCAACCCGACGAACAAACTCTGCAACTTTCACTGTTAAGGCTCTGTTATCACACCACAAACCAGTTGCTTTCTGGACTGCCATGTTTGCTGCGATTGGGCAGTTATATCTCACGAATCCAAACTTGGAGTGCGTCGTCTTCCTTCTTTTATGTGGTATGAACACATCCTGCACCACTCCGAAGTGAGTGAACAAAGTAAACAACCCTTTTGGATCCATTGACTCTGGTAAATTATCCACAAAGACCGTATGGATGCCTGAATCCCACCTCTGGTGTTCATGCCCTACACCTACACCTCCATGCTTGCGTACCACTGGTCTCCAGCCCCCTTGCTTTTCCATTTCTTTTAGAGCTCCTTGCATTTTAAGCCTTGAGGATATCCCAATTGACGGAGGAATTGTGTGATGCAGTCTCCACTCTATCATTATTAACTCCATTTTTTTGTTTTTTTTTTTGTTTTTCAGTTGGACTTGTCATGAGATGTCTGTAATAATTTTTATTCATATGTATCTAAATAGGTATGACCTGAATGTCGACTTTTTAAATGTTCATGCTGACAAGAGTACGTTTCATCGTTTTGACAAATTCAACTTAAAAGTATAATCCCGGTGGTCAAAGTAGGCTAAGGGAGATTTTCCTAAAGCAAGATAACCTTATCCAGGGTATGTACTGTATGTTTCCTCAATCATAGGGTGAGATGCTGAAGTTAAAGCTTTAGAAATTATTTATTTCATGCTATATATGTTTTATTTCTTGGACTTCCAGTAACTGCCTTGCATCTTAGTTATCTTCATTTTGAAATCCAATATATAAGCTTCAGTAGTTTGAAACAGTTCTATGTTAATAATAAGTTGTGGTTGAAGAACTACTGACAAATATGATAACAACTGTGTTGTGTGGCAATTGATTATACTATGTCGCAATGAATTCTATGGCACTAGGCGACAGAGACACTGCTATGGAAGGGCCATGTTGATGGCCACACTTTGTCAGAATGGTCACTTTTCATGTCAATGTTAATAATATATTTCTTTTGGTTGGTCTTAGAACTTTGTTCTTCTCATATGCTATCATTAATTTTTTATATGTGGTTTAATTATGTACAACAGGCCGTTTCCTGGCTAAGCTGACAAAGCAAGTTTTTTCAGGTCTTGATGCAAGTAAATATCAGGTGTATTCTTGTTGCTTTTTTTAATAGATATATTCTCCACCAAATTGTCTTAGATTTTATGAAAATTTGCTTTCTTCTTTTGTGTCTCTGTTGCTTGCTCAGATAGTGGGGATGAACACTGAATATACATCACTTGATTCACATCATTGCAACAATTCATCTTTCCTGTTATTTTATTTTATTTTAATTTTTAAAATTGATTTCTTTCCCTTTTCACGTTTCTTTAAGTTTTTTAATCTTTTTCCTTCTTTGAAGGGTTTGTGCACGAGGGTTATGAATTTCCCTTCACATTAAATGCAGATGCTCATTTACGACAGCTTGAATTGGATAATTTAACAAGTTATTACAATATTTGGCACATAATTTGTTTGCAAAATTATGGTTTCCTCTTTTCCTAGACACCGGTTAGGCAATACTTTGTATTGTGCCATTTTCATATTCTATTGTTGATGATGTTTTCTGCATGCTCTAAGCTTGATCTGGAAATCAATACCAAAATGAGAGTGAGGTAAATTGTGTTAGGTCGATATGTCTTAAAAAATCTAGTATTTTAATCCTTTGTGGTATAGGTCGATATGTCTTCTTCAACAGCACCAATCCAATTAAGAGCTTACTTTGGCTGAAAATTTTCTTTGGAGATTTACGTAAATTTAATATGGGTTGTTGGGTGGTGGTACAATGGTTAATGCTTGGGTTGCCAAGCGTGAAAACTTGGGTTTGAGTTTTAAAGCTTCTACTTTGTGCAAGTGATGTCAAGGTTAGGTCCATATGCAGTTCACCTCTCCTACCATCACTTCTTAATGGAGACTAGCATTGAAGAATAATCTTTTTATATTTGCATTAATTTTTATGTTCTTTCAACTATTTTTAAATAGTGTACTTTCGGAAGTATGGATGTTTTCGTGATTCCCAACTTTTGAAATTTTATCCCATGCCCGGTTTAAGTTATAAGATACTCACCTTCTCATGACTTTCTTTTTTGGGTCTTTTTTGTTTGTTCGTCATTTTATTAGCTATTTCTTATGGTTCTTCCATGTTAAATTGTTGAAGTTGTTGTTATAGATGGCTGAATACAGGATATCAATATATGGTAGAAAGATGAGTGAGCGGGATCAAATGGCAAGTTGGATAGTGAATAATGAATTGTACAGTAATAATGTTGTTTGGCTTATTCAGGTACCCGATAGAAATTCTGTTATTTAAAATTCATCTTTTCTAATATGTAGTTATGGTTTTCTGTTTTATTTTTGTGGGTGGGGGGAGGGGGTAGAAGAAAGGTTGCTTTTCATGGTGCTTTATGTTTTTTCTCTCTCAAAAGCTACTAGGTTTCTTGTGTGTATCTCAAAAGAAAACCTAACCCAAGTGATTATAGGATTTTCAAGAATCATAAACCAATTTGGACTAAAATTCATGTGCTCATTGAGCAGGTTTTGAGTGCAGCTCGTAGTACTATTGTAGGCCAGTGGAATGAAGCATATGTAAAAATTAATGAAAGGACCAAGGGTTCGTTCTGAAACACAGATTTTAAAGGAAGATCCTTTAACTTGAAGATTGGCATCACTTCTTCTGAAAGTTCTTCCGAAGCTTTCTAGATTTTTCTTTAAGTAATGGGTTTAAGATTTCAGAGTCATTATTGCTTATGTCTGCATAGGTGAATTTTCTGTTTATGTTAATTTGTTATTTTTAGTTTGGTTTACTCAACAGAAAGGTTGTTTTAATGCTATCTTAAAATCGTGGTTTTTCTCTTCCAGCTCTACTTTTCCTAAGGCTGGAAATCCCTATATTGATGAAGATTCAACACAGAAATCAACACAGCAACACTTAACACAGCAGTCCAATCACTTATCACAGCAGTTCAAACAGTCCGCAGAACAGTCCGCAGCTGCAGCTATACCAGATAGCAGAGCACACAGTGTACAGAAGGGCCAGAGCAGCAGTTCATGAAAGGTGCAGATGTAGTGCACACCATGAGCTGTGTAACATGTTAACAATTTCCTTTAACTGTATGCAGTTAGTTTGTTACAGATTAGTTAATTAGATTAGTTAGGTTGTTAGATGATTAGTTACAGATTTGTAAAGTTGTATATAATGTAATTGTGAGATGAATAATATGTAACAAAAACATTTTCAGACTTTCAGACTTTCTTCATGGTATCAGAGCTGATAAAGCTCTAACGAGCATTCAACAATGGCATTATCTTCAATGCCAAATCTTTCTCTTCTTCTTTCCAATCTCAATTCGTTAGTCACTGTCAAACTTGACTCATCAAATTATCTAATTTGGAAAAGTCAAGTTCAGAATTTGTTTAGAGCTACAGAATTTTTTGGTTATCTTGATGGATCGGTTGTTTGTCCTTCTTCTACAACAATAAATGCATAGAATATTTCAGTCGCCAATCCAGAATTCAGCAAATGGAAGCTTGTTGATGCACATCTTCTGAGCTGTTTAACCGCAACCTTATCACCACCAGTTTTTTCTTCCGTATTGCATCTGCAGCGTAGTCATGAAGTATGGCTGGCTTTGGAAAAGAGGTTTACTGCGCAAAAGTAATTCGCGACCAAAATTTTGGTTGGTCGGAAAAAGTTGGATTTGCCGACTAAATTTTTGGTCGCTAAATATATCATTACTGCAACTAATCCATTTTATCGCTAAAACATTTTGGTTGCGAAAAGTCACTTTTTGCCGACCAAATATCTTAGTCGCCAATTGTCACATTCCACGACCAACCTCTTTTTGGTCGCCAATTGTGACATTTCACGACAAAAAATTCTGGTCGCCAATTGTGACATTCTGCGACCTCTTAGTTTGGCCGCCAATTGTCACGTTTCATGACCAAAATTTTTGGTCGCCAACTGTAACATTCTGCGACCAAAATTTTTGGTGGCCAATTGTGACATTCTGCGACCCCTTAATTTGGTCGCCAATTGTCACATTCTACGACCAAAATAACTAGTCGTCAATTGTCACATTCCACGACCAAACATGTTTGTCGCCAAAAGAAATGTTTGCGCAACTAAAACTTTAGTCGGCAATAGACCTATTCGCGACCAAATCCTTTGGTTGCCAAAATCAATAATTTTAACGACTAATTATTTAGTCGTCAAATGTGCTTTGTGATACACCAACTACTTTATTTAGTCGGCAAAAGTATAACTTATCTTTCCCGACTAATCAATTGATCGCCAAAACTATTAAAACAAAACCAAATTTTGGTCGCCAACATCCAACAAAATAAACCTGTAATTTATAATAATCCATCCAATTTATTCAATATAATCTGTAATTTGCAAAAATCATTCAAACCAACAAATAAACTAAATCATCAACATTCAACAAAATACAGATATCAACTATTTCTGAACCTGTTTAATTAAAGTCAGCAACTATTATAAGTTTACATCCACAAGTAATTCCAAACTACATATTTTATCTAGCTTAAAAATTTAAAACATAAATTGTTATGTTTTAAATTTTTATCCATGTACATCAACCCAAAAATATAACTAGTTGTCTATCAAATATTTTCTATACACACCCATCCAAAAATATAACTAGTAGTGTATCCAAAAATATAACTACTAGTTTGCCCTAATATTTTCTATATACATCTATACAAAAATATATAATTCTTCTAAAAATGCAAAAAGTGCCAATTTGTCCTGTACAATTTAGCTTTGTGCACGAGTTCATCCATCTGTACCATAAAAAAAGAGAAATAATGTCAGATAAAATTGGACAAATAATGAAAAATGTCCATGAAAAGCAAAGGTCACATTAGCAAATTCAATGACTATCATTATCAAATTGTAAATAAAACAATAGCATTCTTATGTGTATAGAATAAATTGGATCAGCCACCATTCCAGATCCAATATAATGCCACACAGCAGAAACCAACATGGCAACTAAAATTTATCCATATTGTCAATAACTCCTAGAAATCCTCAATGAACCTTTCATGCGAATTAAATTTCAATCCAGAACCAACCACAATTAGTACCCCAGCTGTGTGTGCCGCTATGTGGTACAATCGCTTTTCAGAAGCCTTCTAATGAAACTAGTATTGCGAAGGCTTCTGAAGGCTCCTGATCTGTCATGTTGTGATGAAACGAGTATTACACTGCTGCCACAATGTTACACAGCAACATACAGACCACCAAAGGAAAAGAAAGAAGAAAAAAGAAGTATCTATATTGTTTAATCTATATATCTAGATTGATAAATAATGAATGAATGGATGATGAACAGGTTTCATTACACGGCAATATTGGAGTAGAGGCAAAGGGAGATGCCAATGCCGGAAGATCGGGTAAGGGGTGTGGCACTTGACTACCCAGAGTATAATTCGATTGACTAACCCAACCAATTCACTCCTCAAAGGGCTATTTGGTAGTCTACTTTTAAAACGGAACGTTTTATACTTGGAAAAAAAGTTAAGTTTGTGACTATTGAGAAGTTTTATTTCTAATCATTTTTATTTAGAGATAAGTATTAGAAAAAGCAAATACTAATATATTATATTATATTTATCATGCACGTATTGATCAGTGATATAAAAAATGTTTAAAACAAAAAAAAATTTATAGCAGCTCTAATAAATTTGATACATCGATGATTAATATAAATACAAACTGTTAATTGGTGTTGATAGTCACCACCATATATAGTTGACTATTAATTTGTATTCTTTCTTCTGTAACGATGCCATTTGACATCACCACCTGAAGATCATATTCCATCAAAATAAATACAAACCCTAAAATTTTCATACAACAGAATGTATGGTGTTCTCAGTACTATATTATCTTGAATAAGGCCCACAATCCATGATATATGATTTGTAATGTATTTTTGGGAGAGTTTCTAATGTGTAGCATTAGAAATTTAGAAATTAGGCAATATTTAAAAATCAAGAAGTTTATCAATTTCACTACAAAAAGTGCGCACTTTTGCAGTTTCTTAAACATTGTAATTTCAGAAATTGTGAAATTCGACATTTTTTCGAACAAAAATTGTGAAAAATTCTAATTTCACAATATAGACCACCAGTTTGCTCCAAAAACAAGCATCCAGACAGATCAGGATGACCATCCAGACAGGTCAGGATGATTGATAGATCAGGAAAAAGCCAGACAGAGCTAGAGTACACACTGAAGCCAGACAGATCCATCTGCTGCCCATCCAGACAGATCAGGATGATCTTTATGAAGCCAGACAAATCATGCAGACCACCAAAGGAAAAGAAAGAATAAAAAAGAAGAAATAGAGAGGAGCAGACCCACACTGCTGCCACAGTGTTACACAGCAGCAGAGCACAATGCACCAATCTGCTGCTGATGAAGACAACAGCCAACTAGCAAGATAGATAAAGAAGAGTATGACAATCAAAGTGGTCGGCAATTGTGTAAATTCTTGTAGTGGATTAAAAGGATTAAAATAGCAAGATAGATAAAGAAGCAGAAAGGAATCGCTCATAAAACGAGGCATTCCACCTAGATTTCCGTAGGCATCACACCCAGGATTAGATATCTGTTTTCGATAAATAAACCTAGGTTTTAAAATTGCTTCAAAAATTTTGAACTCAAGTTGAACTTCTTGTTTGGGAACTAAGAGTTTGACCCTTTAAACGTATCTAAAAACCAAATAAGACTCATAAATAAATAAATAAAATATAAAATAAAAAATTGAAAACCAACTAAGACTTACGATAAAAATAATAATAATAATAAAACAAATTGAAAACAAAGATGGAAAAAGGAGAGCTTGAGAATTGTAACTTGATTTTATTTGGTTCACGTACTATGAGGGTGATGAATAAAAAATATTAAGCAACCAAATGATATGGATCCAAATGATAGTTGACTTCTAGTCCATTCATGGTCTAGATCAATGATCTTATGAAATCCAATTAAACAATATTGCAAGGTCATGATGAATGAGATGGTCTTCAGTGCACCAGCCCAGGATGTGCTGCTAGTTCCAACAACAGTAAAAAGAAAGAAGATCTCATCAAAAATTGAAATTAAATCCACGAAGGACATGCGCAATCACAGGTTCTCAAAACTGTGTTTGCATAGGTTTGGAACATCGCATGGTGTATTTACACCAATGTTTGGACAAAACTAGCAATCCCTTCTTTCTTTCTTTCTTTTTTTTTTTTTAGTAAAAACTGGCAATCCCTTCAACACCATCCATGTGAGTAATTAAGCCTAATGGTGCATCAAATTAGTTCCTGGCATTTCAATATCCAAAAATAAAATGCTACAACTATTCAAGAGACTCTCAGATGACAAACACTAATTAGAGACAGAATATCTGTACTGGCTTTATTTTTTGATCGGCAAAAGAGAAGCTTTATTGATGGAAAACATAACGAGTATGATAAGATACATCAATAAAGAAGAGGGTGCAAAAAGCATCACAGTGAAACATTTGGATCCCAACTAGGTTGTCACCTAAACGCACACCAAATCATCTGCTAGCACACACTCGAGGCTCTAAGATGGTGAGAAACCAACTATCAGAGCGGAACAAAACAAACAAAAACAAAAAGGCAACAAACACACACCACAGCTGGGTCATAACACTCCAAATCACCAGACAGAGTCATCCACAAAGCAGAAGTTGAGCATAACATACAATAGCAGCCCAGAATCCTAGTAGCAGCCCAGAATCCTATTGTGGTTGCACAATAGGATCACCAATAGAAGCTGAGCATTGAATCACCAATCAACATCCATAAACTCAGCCAAATCTGAAGATGGAGAACCAAGACAACTCAGACCATCCCCAGCCACCACCATCTCAGCAACCCAGATCCAGGACTCCATCAGATTGGATTTGATTAGCAGCCTAACAGCAAGCTCCTATTGTGGTTGCACCTTGACAGACCAACAAAGCACTCCACTAATTAACATCCATAAACTCTAATTGCACCAGTAGCAGTCCAACACAGCAGAGTTCCCTCACACACAGCAGTCCAACACACCAGTAGCAATCCAACACACCAGTAGCAGTCTAATTGCACCAGTAGCAGTCCAACATACCAGCCCACTCACACACAGCACAGTTCCCTGCTCACCTAAACATATCAGATGACACTATGAATATCATATCTGCAGCCTAACACAACAACAAACCAGCTCAGAACAGTTAAGAACATCCTCTGATTTGACGCCAATTGAAAATTAAATCATCAACGGAATAGGGAAGGTCTTTAATAGATGCTTTCAGCCAAAGTACTACTCTGATTTTGATATTTTCACTCAAGCCAGAGAGACTAGGTTGAGCCTCTACAAAGGCATATTCATTCCTAAGTTTCCAAAGC